AGAGCGAAGCCCTGTCTCTACTATAAATGGAAAGAAATTAATTGGACAACTAATATATATATATAAAATTAGCCGGGGATGTGGCGCATGCCTGTAGACCCAGCTACTCGGGAGGCTGAGGCAGGAGGATCGCTTGACTCAGGCTGGTTTCGAACTCCTGACCTTGAGCGATCCACCTGCCTCGGCCTCCCAGAGTGCTAGGATTACAGGCGTTAGGTACCGCGCCCGGCCCTATTCCTCTTTTTTAAGAGAGAATAAAGAAGAACGAAACCCCTCAAGCAATAAAATATCGAGCCCTACCGCCTGCCTTAGTCAAGGCAACACCAGGTCTCCCATGTCGGCTCACCAACAGCGCTCTCCAAGGCTCCTCACTAGAAATGAACGTTGCCGTCCTGCGTCCGAAGCCTAGTTTTACCTCATTCACCTGCCACGGAATCTCGTAAAATCTCAAAGATAACTTTAAGTCGTTTGAACGTAAACGTGACTCACAGTAACACCAACACACGCGCACCTCCATAGCTCACTGAGGGAGGCGAACGGGTCGAGCTCGGAGGCGGGCAATCACCGCGCCGGCCCTCCGTTTTCTTCTGGGAAATATCCGCCTTGGGAAGAGCTCGATCGAGGTCACCCACCCAGGCGGACAGAGAGCCCACCCAAGTCCCCGCCACCGTCTCCGGCTGCGTCACCCCGCCAGACCTGTCCAGAAAGCCCCTAACCACCGGGCAAGCCCTCAACTTCCCGCCCCAGCAGACACGGATCCAGGGCCAGAGCAAATGCCAGACCCGAGAGGGGAACCAGGTCGGCGGACGACCCCGCGGGCAGGCCTGGCGGCGCCCACAGCAAGGCGGTGCGGGGCGACCCGCGGGAGAACGCCCCCGGCAGCCCCGCGGCTCCCGCCCCTGACCCTACAGACCCCGGCCCCGGCCCCGGCCCCGGCCCCTCACCGGCGGGCGGAGCGGGGCGCGGCCGCCGGGCGCCGCCGGGGGGATGCGGCTGCCTCCCCGGGCCGGGGTGTAGAGGGCGGGTCCCGGCCTCGGGAGCGCGGCGGTGGAGGGGACGGAGGCGGCGGCCATGGCGACCCCCGGCAACCTGGGGTCCTCTGTGCTGGCGAGCAAGACCAAGACCAAGAAGAAGCACTTCGTAGCGCAGAAAGTGAAGCTGTTTCGGGCCAGCGACCCGCTGCTCAGCGTCCTGATGTGGGGGGTAAACCACTCGGTAAGGGCTCGCCTGCGGCGCGCAGTCCCCTTCCTCCTCCTCCTCTTCCTCCTCGCTCCCCTCCTCCTCCGGCGGCGGCTGCTGCGGGGCGGGGAGCCCGAGCCGGCCCCGGCCCTCCGGCTGTTCGCCTCCGGGGCCGCTCGCCCGCCCCGGTGTCCCTGGCCCCGCGGCGCGCGCGCCCGCCCCTCTGGGCCACCCGGACGCCGCTCGCGCCCCCTTTGGACCCGGGGCGGGTGCAGGACGAGGGGTCCCGTCTGCATCTGAGCCCCACGGCCGGTGCCAGTGCCGCCCCCCGCCCGCCTGCGGGTCGGTGCCCGCAGCCCGGGAAGTGGGAAGTTTGCGCGGGGCACGGCTCCGCCGCGCTGTCAGCTCCGGCGCGGGCTGCGGGGACCCGGTCCTGGAGCTCGCTGCCCGGTGCGGGGGGCGGCGGGGGCGCCCGCGTCCTCAGCCGCGGGCAGGTGTACCTGTCCCAGGCAGGGAGCGTCGGTGGCCTCCCGCGGGAGGAGAGGAGTGAGGATCCTGGGGAGACTGGAAAGCGAGGAGATTTGGGGCAGCAGCTTTAGTGCTTAGGTCCTTTTTTTTTTTTTCCTTTAAAGGCAATATTGTTGGACACAAGGGAGGCTTTTTGGCAAAGAAAAAGCTAATGTAAATATGGCTGTGATGCTGAGCATCGTCCCTGCCCCTCTCCCGCATCGCCCTGCCGCCGTGCGACGGAGCAGCCCTTGGCGGGGACTCTGCCTCCCGGCGCCGCCTCCCCCACTTTGGGGAGCCGGGCAGAAGTCACCGACTGCGGAAGGGCGGCGGGGGCGGTGACAGCAGGAGGGGGTCCTGGCAGGCAGGCGACGCGAGGTGGTCTTGAGTTGCCTGCACCCGCTTTGGGGGTGGTTCAGAAGGCCGGCGGAGAGCGCTTGGGAAGGTTGGCTAGCGCGCAGCCGGGGCTGGCCGAGGATGCGCCGCTGCGGGCTATGCGGACTGCGGGTCGAGGGTCCGAAATAGCCTCCTGCTGATCCGACCGCGAGAAACTCCTGCAGTTTTAATCTACTTGGACGGGATCAGGAAACATGATCGGAGCTGTTGGCTCAGCCATGAAAGTTTAAATGAGCCTGTGAATTTTGAGCATGACCTTACCCACTGCAGTCAGGCAGCATCTGAGCAAAAGTGTAAGTCTGCCTGTCAGTGCTTTTGATTTCGATGGGTGTCTGTTTCCCTTTCTGCATCATGGAAATGACAGAAAACCATGCTGGTTTCTCAAAAGAGATGCTGTCACTTTAATGAAGTTGTTTAAAACGGCTCAAAAGCATCGTTGTTTTTTTTTGTATTTTTGTTCCCCAAGCTGAGATGGGGGAAAGGTGAAACAGGATCACGATTGATTGTGTTTGCATGGAGTGGTGACTGCCTTTGAAAAATCTGAAAAATGATTATTTGTATCCAGTTTAATGCCTGACCCCCAGACGTTCATTTTAACTTCCTCCAACTTCTTTAGCTATTAGGAATGTAAACTGTTAAAATAGCATATGCTACATTATTGCACCCAAAAGTCCTCCCCCAAGTTTTATTACAGAACATGAAATGAAATTTTTCCTGTTAATAAGTCTGCAATCTAGAGTTATGTATGCTTTTAAGCTCTTTTATGATTTATGTTTAGTTCTGTGTCCCTTATTACTAAAATCGGATGCTGTAATAAAAAATAGGTGTACTGCTCACTCATATTTACGGGTGGTTTTATCTCCTTTGGAGTTCTGGTGTTTTGGTCAGGACAGTGTTTGTGTGTCAGGGTTTAATCTAGTAAAGTAGTGTCAACAATGTGCTGCATAAAAAGAGGGTGCTGTCTTGGGAGTGAGTCTGAATCCTGTTTACTTCAGAAAGTCTTGCAATATTGTGCATGTTTTACAGTAACCGCTTACATTGCTACATTATATTTTATGAATTGCTACATTTGTTTTAGAGTTTCTTGCTAATTGGAAATATTTTGAAACTACTTAAGGCTTATAAAAATAATGTATACTTTGTAGATAGTACATTCAGTGTTATTTTGTTTTGCTCTTAAGAAAATGTAGCAATTCTAAATGTGCACAGCCCCCGTGAAGTTTCCATAGTATACAATGTAATCCTGTTATTCATTCAGCAGGTACATATTGGGCACATTGAGTGTCATCTGTGGGAAAGATTGCTAAAACACCTCTCGTATTTTTGTCCAAATATCCTTATTTTGGGGGGCTCTGAGTTGACATAAACATGGTCCATTTCACAGCCTTGTTTTTCAAATTGTCTATTTTCTTTACTCTGTTAGTTTTGAAAAAAGGATGGAAGTATATATAAAGATGAAATCTAAACACTGAGATGTGTATTTCTGGTTGATTTCATGTGTATTTCTGTGTACCAAAGTTTATAGTACAATGTGAGAATAAATATGTCAGCACTGTTAAGAACAAGCAAGCATAGTGTGCATGAATGGGGACATTTGAGAAAGCATCACAAAGAAGGAACCGATAATTCAAATCAGAGTCTTGCATTTCTAAAGTGATCAGAATTAATGGGAAAATATTTGTCATGAATACAGCTATTTTGTGCTTTTAAAATTTATTTGGACTCGTCATAAGGATATTAAGGAACAACCATACATTTGTAGCACTAAAGGGAAACCACATATTTATTTTATCATAGAGGCATCTTATAAGGGGATTGGGCTTCTATATTCCCTATATACTAGGGTAAAATGCTCATTGGATCTGTGTTCCAGTTCTTTCTGTGTTGACCTTGGGCATGCTAACCAGTTTTTGTTTGCATCTGTGAGGTAAGGTTATTGGACTGGATGATTTCCAAGTTTTTTTCTAACTCAAGATGCAACTGTTTTTACAGTCTACTAGGTACATAGCATTATACTAGGATTTATAGAATAGTAATAGTATCTAATAAAAGTTGCATTACTATTATAACCTTGCTAATACAGCAGCATTCAGGAAATTTTCAAGGCCTTGACTTAAAGGGAAAGGAATCTATGGTGATTTTTAAGAGACTGTGAACTAGAGTTTGTTATATTGATTGTAGTTGAACTGCATTGCAGTCTATTAAGTCAAAGTCTATTTGATTGAAATGTAACAACTTGCAATTAAGGTGAAAAATTTCAAGTCCACTGTGGTGGTAATAAAAATCTTGATTTGGATAATGCTCAGTGTCGGGAATAAGCCTGTTATTGTGTGGTTAATTTGATATGTTACTGCTTTCTAACTTAAAATACCCATCAGTGAATGGATCAGTGCCAATTTTTATTTTAAGTATTTTAAGCAGTGAATATAATTGGATACATAAAGGAAAAGATGACTTAAGAAGGCAGTTTTGTCTTGTTACATTTGGAATTACACTAAAAATGATTCGGCAGTAAGCGTCTTAAAATGATATTTTAATAGTGTGTGGAGCATGTTGAATGATATAAGCCAAGACTTGTTTTAAATAGATATCCTAAAAGATTTTCATACTCAGTGAAATGTGAGCCTTTTAGAAATTAGTATTTAAAAAGCTATTTAACTATCCAAGGGAAGACATTCATTATCTGTATAGAAAAATCTTCAGGGACATAAAACTTGCTTAAAACAAATGTATTTAGGAGTAGCCAAGTATTAACATTAGAGTCTTTTGGTTTCAAGCCATAGAAACTCAAATGAGCTCCAGCAAAAGTTTCAAGTACTAGAAGAATTTGGGGGGTCTACCACGGTAGAAGGAAGACTGGTGACCAAGCTGCGAAGAGAGCCAGGGGCTTGGGTGTTGTGGAACTTCTCTGTCTGTTTTGGTTTTATTCTTCTTTATAGCTGACTGGCTTCCCCCACAGGGCAAGGAACTAATGCTTCCTGAATTTCACTTTTTGCTCCCCCAAAAGGGCTTTCTGTCTGGGATTCAGTTATAAAAATCCCATGGAAGGATTCTGATTGGTCTGGCTGCGGTCAGTGGTGGCTGTCCCCCCTCGACCGAGCAATTAATAACAAGATGGCAGCACCTGCTTGTTGGAGTTGGGGAAAGAACAGCCCCCCAAAGAAGGGAAGGGGCCTGGGCAGGTGGTGTCAGGCAGGTCTCTCTCCTAGTAACAGAGCTGTGGGTCCTACCTGTGGGGGTCTGTGGGGACCAGCCACATGCCATGTTTTGTGTGGATTGGAGAATGCATGGTGTTCTTGGTAGCACGTCCATAGCTTTTATTAATAATATATTCTCAGAAAGGTCTGGGTCTTAAAATAGATACATATTATATTATAGAAATAGTTTTGTGGATTTATATTTGAGCACTGAAAAAAGATAAAAGAAGGAAGTTAGGTCTAAAAGTGATGAATGATTATGAATGATATTGACTGAATGGACTGTAATGAGGCAATTGCACTGAAATAAACATTAAATAGACATGAGGTGGAATTCATTGAATGGAACCCAATTAATCATTCAATCAAGAACTAGTCTCCTCAAACTTATTTTTTTTCTGCCTTTTACTTTTCAGAGGAAAGAAACATGCGAAGCAGATATATACAAAATTTATTATTAGGGAAGTAGTTTTATACCCCCTAAAACTTGGGATTATATCTGGAGAAAGTAAAACAATTTCTTCTCTGTTCATCGAGTACCTTAGAGTGAACTTTAGTTACTCCAAGTACTAAATGCTTTACTAAACTTTAGTATTCAAAATGATGCCCCATGGCAGGTCAGTGACCTCTCCTCCCAAGGCAAGATGTTTTGCTGTGCCTTTAGAAAGATGGTCAGTAAGAATTGTAATAAACCAATCAAATCTATTCTAAGTTGATTGGAAAATGCAGTTAACTAGAGTAATTAGTTTTGCGAATATACCCTCCGAAATACAGATTTTGGAACTGAAGGGAATTGGTGCCATTTGGCAAAATCATTTGTGGTCAGATAGATGAAGTTCAAATCCTGGCATCAGCAGTTGTGAGCTCTTCGAGCCTGAATTTATGCATTCTTGAACCGGAGGTAATGAGGATTACCTAGCAGGGTTATCTTGAGGG